TATATCTGCGGACTTATAACGCAAGAACCCGGTTTTCGATACCCGTGGTGGGCAGAGCACATGTAACCCATTGCGTAGTTTAGTGCTTAACTACAAACAAACAAGCTGTTTACGAAGAGAAATAGTTAAAACATGAATTCATAAAAGCGTATGCAAAACCTATTAAAATTGAACCGATTAAGATTTTTTTTCACTTGCTTTTTAAATGTTTATCCTTAAGTAATACGTTTTCACTGCTCCTGTATCACTGAAAATCCCAAAGAACAGCCTTATGCCAAGCAGCACATTTACGGAGATTTTACAGCACATTTAAATTTTGCTCGTTACAAATTATGTTTTCTAACATGTACAAACAAAGAATTTCCTATCTTTATACGAAATTGTGAAATTTAACAAATGAAGTTAGACTTTAATGTGTTGTGAAACTGATTTCAAGTTTGTTGGTGGAGTCGCAGTCGTCATGTTCTAAAGTTTTGACATGACCTTTAAAAAACAACTTCTTCACCAAATTTCTGGTTCTAACCATTGTTTATTTGTTATGGATTTCGCGTAAACCTACACGAGGGTTATCTGCGCTAGCCGTCCCTAATTTAGCAGTGTAAGACTAGAGGGAAAGCAGCTAGTCATCCCCACCCACCGCCAACTCGTGGGCTACACTTTTACCAACGGATAGTGGGATTGACCGTAACATTATAACGCCTCCACGGCTGGAAGGGCGAACATGTTTGGTGGGACGGGGATTCGAACTCGCCACCCTTAGATTGCGAGTCGAGCGCCCTAACCACCTGGCCATGCCGGGCCTTCACTGAAAGGAAAATGGCGAATAGCGCTCGTTGGCCATATGTTAAAACTATGGACTTTGGAACTGGTAAAACGGATTCGAATCCGTGCGATACCACAAAATATCCCCCGAACTTTAAGCTGTGAATGCATTGTAAGAGTGACAGCCAATCCCTTAGCGTGTTTACTGGGTGCTGCCTTCACTCTGATCAGTAATTCAAAATTAGGGACTCGTCGGTAGATATATGTCCTTAATAGTTTTGCCATGGATTTAAATACAATTCAAAAAGCCAGAATATACTAATATAATACGAACGAATTAATAATACTACCAGTTTAGCTTATGTTAATATTATCGGTCTTCAGTGTAGGGCTGAGCGTTGTCCAGTGGTTAGCGTGTCGGCCTGGGGATCTGAGGTTTCACACCCTATTACTACAAAAATCCTCACTTTGGGTTCGTTATAATAGCGATAGATAATCAAATCCCACTATTTGATTAGACTAGCCCACGATGTGACGGTGGTGTTGTTGACTGGCTGCCTTCCCTCTAGTCTGTCACTTCAAAATTAAAAACAGCAAGCGCAGATAGCCTTCGTGTAATTTTGTACGAAATCAGTCAAACAAAATAATAAACAAATTATCTACATAGTTTATGCCAAAGATGAATACCTACAGGCCCGCGAATTTAAACTTCATAAAAGTTGTTTTGGTTTTAATAACGGATTTTCCATTTTTTTTTCTATCACGTAAGGTTTTTACAAATCGGGAAGAAAAAAACTCTTACTTAGATTCAATTATTATTTCGTTTACCACAACGAACATTTTTTATTATTATGTTTGTTAACAAAAAAGACAAACAAACTGAAGAAAATGGAAGAACATTGATGTCAAATGAACATGCATCCTCATTCATCCTGATTTTTTATGTGAAATCTACGTCTTTTAGTCTCAAAACTACGTGTTGTGGTCTTTCTTTTATTTACCGCGTTATGACGTTTTGTTAAAAATCTGTACGTGCTGGAGAAAAATGGATTCAGCGTACAGGAATTACTATAAAACATGTAAAAAATTCAAGACAATAAAACCATCGCAGGCAATAAATTGTGGAATGAGTTTGACTTAATGTTAGTTGAGAACAAGTTATGTGCACAGCAAAAGATGGACAACACAGCTGAAACTAACTCCAAGCCTTCTGATACTCGCGACTCAACACCTACGCATATATGTGACAGTGGGAGGCGGGGGTTGTTTGATCGTGAGAGGAGGTGAAGGTTTACTGGAATGAAAAGTTTAGCGTTGAAACATATGTTTATGTTTGGATTGACTGTTTGTCTTTCTCAAAGTGGCCTACTTCCATTCCCTTGTTTCTTCCTGGTCCTCTGGTTTTGGCAGAGATGTTATTGTACAAATATTTCTATTTTAAACAAAATAAAAGGTTGGGTGAAACATAAAAGCGTGGTGTTTGCAAGCAACTTTAAAAGAAAGAATAAGACAAAGAATGTATGATAACAGGTAATTAATTGCCTCATTTATCTTGATAACTTTGTTAATTCTCTGGAACAGTAATTTTTAACTTATTCAGCCACAGTATTATCCGACAAAACCGAATTTTTGTGTGTGTTATAGTAGGCTTACGTGCCAATTTGAGATACTGTTGGTAAATTAAAAAAACAACACGCAACTCAGGTCATGTTATAGCAGTTCAGTATAGAAATGATAAATAAGTTAATTAGTAATTGTTAATATTTGATTGTTTTTATAAAGGAAAGAATGAAAAGTTTATAGTAACATGACGGGCGCGGACTATCGAGTTAGCAAGTCGGGCCTCGTATCGAAAGGTCCAAGGTTTGAGCCCATGATATGCCACTGAACACGTTCCGTACTTTCAGCTGTGGGAGCGTTATTAGGTTAAGAGTAGTCATGTAGGTGAGTGCTATCGATTGACTCTCCCTTCCTCTGGTCAGCTATGCCATCCATTTTAGATAGGACTCTTACGTAGTCTTTTAAGTCCACGTGTTGAATAAGGTGTCCACATTCTTGATACCACGGAATTAACACCACTCTTCCAAAACACCGTACCAGAATGTGCTGGTTTACCTAATGCTATTAGTAGACTTGATACAGAATATAACAATTTCAACACACTTTAATGTTTTGGTTCACCAAAAGCTACTAGCTAGCTGCCACGAGAAAAATGTACTTTGTCTTTCTTTTTGATAAGGTTCTAGTTGGCTTTTTCTTGGTGATTTTCAATCGAGAACGTGCCAGTTGTAATCAAACTGTGTGATGAGCGATTTCCACCAAATAAACTAGATGTACATCCAGTGAGCCGTATTGTTATTTTCACGGTCGATGAATAAACCGACAAAGAATATTGCCCAGTGATGATGATTAGAAAGCTTCTAGTGAGCACTGTTAGTATACAGAATTAAACAACAACAAAAATAAAAATAAATCTGGCTTCTAAACAATATTTCTTAATTTTATATTTGTAACTTAGGACTGTAGGTAAGGACTGGCACAGTTTTAATTGGCATATTTTAAGAGACTTGTTTTTTAAAAATAAATTTCTTTAACCCGCTCACAAACATCACCACGGAGTTACGTAATGTTTCTTGACACGACTGTTTATTTTCACGCTAAATACATAATGGCTAAGAGCCAACAAACTCAATACGTTATTCTTTCTTGAAATGTGACGAGGACCACATACTTTATTTTACTTATACAGTTTTCAAACAAATGCATTTGTAATATCTTAGAAGCAGATAATCGGGGAATTAATAGATTGAATTCTGTAATTTAAAGCTATGGTAGTTGGTCCTAAAACATGTGTCAGCTACATTTGTTTCGAAAATGATCAAAACTAAACATTGCTACACCTAAATTAAAGATGCTTATAAAGTAGTAAATTTGGCAAGCTTGGTACTTCAATCAGACTTATGTTGGTTTGTAGTTCAACTTATTATAATGTTCACATTTTAGTTTAAAATCTCTTAAAGGATGTAGAAAGAACTAAACCACGTGGTTCTTCTTGACAAGCTCTCTTCGAATATACTGTCGTTATGAATAAACGCAAATACTCTCGCTAGTGATAAATACACTTATCTTAAGTGGCGTCTTACTAAATTAGTATTGAATATGTTTCTTTAGCGTCTTGCTAAACTATTATTACCTCCGCCACCGAAGGTAATTTAGTAAGACGACAAAGAAGCATCTCTAAGAATAATTTAGTAAGACGACAAAGAAGCAGCTCCAAGAATAATTTAGTAAGACGACAAAGAAGCATCTCTAAGAATAATTTAGTAAGACGACAAAGAAGCATCTCTAAGAATAATTTAGTAAGACGACAAAGAAGCATCTCCAAGAATAATTTAGTAAGACGTTAAGCAAACAACTTGAGGGACACTCACTAGAGTGTATACCACAGCCACGCTGCATTGATCATATTAGGCACTCAAAAAGTACGAAAATGTGTCCATCACGGACCATTTTTGACAGGATAATGAGGAATAATATTCTACGTATGTCTACCACGTTACATCAAAATCCGATAATTTGTGGCTGAGTTATAGAGCAAAAATAGTGTGAAAAATCGGTCCCCATGTTAACAGACAGGGATTTTTTTAATTTTCGTGACCTTACTGTAACATTGACTCTCCAAAAACTAATCACTTCTAAGTTGGGTCATAGTCCAAATGTATACCAACTTTCGTCCAAATACATTCAGTCATTTTCGAGAAATCTTGCTGACAAACACACAAGAGTGGAAACATAACCTCCGTCATTATTGGATATGTTTCTTTAAAAGTTGTTTTGATAACATCTGAGATCAGGTAGAGCTATGAGTCTGTAATTTTTATAAAAGAAAACTTGTAAACTGGAACAAAGGCTATAATATGTTTATTCCATTTTTAGAAAAATATTTTTAACCGTAATCCTGGGATTTTTTCCAGTCTCTTTCAGCCTTTGTTCCAGTCAGTTGTAATTAGGTCTCACTCAACTCGGAAAGTGAAACATCGTGCTGTGGTATCTAGAGTTTCAGTCAAACAATATTTTCACCTTTTAATGGTTAATTATGTAACGTCATGATAAATATCTCATTACGCGTTTGACAAGTAATGTAGTACAATATAAATAACTTTAGTTATTAAAGGCAGAAGTACTGAAAGACGCGTTTTAAACTAATCTGTTTTTATCATATTTTACTTCCTGAGTAGCTGGAGAGATGTCGTCATTAGGTGTCTCCACGTCTAATCCAGATTCGCCTGAGAGCGATGATTGCACAGGTGGGTGCACTTATACACCGCCCTCTAGCGGTCTTGGAAGCATGCGTGATTACTCTAGTTACATGGACAGTGGTCAGCAGTCCCGAGAAGAAACTGTGAATCACGGACCACCAAAGTTGGCACCAGTCAGTGGAGTTTTTGAATCCAAGGTAAATACATGTGTTCTCACCCTTAACCAGCGATGACAGTAAGATGTTTTAGTTTGGGGTAGAATCAGTTTTATTTTTCAATTCTTCACCCACGTTAATATTCGCCTAACTGTTGCTAAACGAGCCACATTTCTACGTTTTAATTCACTAATTTTGGAAAGTACTTAAATTCCTTTTAAAAATGTAATTTCTTTCTACACTATTAGTTTATAAAATTATAGGACTTTTTTTATCATGATAATGGCGTCTTATACGATGATGATGATGAGAACTTTGCAGCAAACATTTTAGGAACACTACAATTAATGTAGAGGTCAGAAACAAAGACACTTCTCGACTCTCGGCACTAAGCCACGTGATTAGAAAAACAATAGTTTGAAGTGTAAATAGTGTTGATCATGGTCATTTTTTTATTTTATAGTATTTTGTACCCCTTTTAAAATCTCGTATTGCCCCAAAATCGTACTTCCCGATACAAAATGCATAACTGTAAAATAAACATGTTATTAGTATGCGTGTTTTACAGTCATAATTTCAATGTAATTAGATATTTATTGGTCGATGTATAATATGACACTTTTTGGAATGTTAAAATTCATATTTAAAATTATCTTCAATTAAGAGTACTTTCAAAAGTAAAATATTAGGTCCATGTTTTTGAGAAAAAATTACGATATTTATATAATATTCGCTATCATTTGATTGTTAAGAGAAAATACAGAAATCATGCACTTTTCTTGTCAAAAGTTTAATTCGAAAGGAATGCAAGGAAGATTCATCTAATTATTTTTGTATGTTTTGCTGAAAATTTAACATTGTTTTAAAAACGTGTTGATGTGCTTGTTTGGAATCATGCAGCTTTTCTTTACAGCTTGATTATTGTCGCAGTTGAAACAACTAATTGTTCCACTCTACCATAATGGTCTGGTGGTTAAGGCACACAACTTGCAATCTGCGGGTTTGAGACCCGTCACCGAACATGCTCCCCCCCTTTCAGCCGTGGGGGCGTTATAATATGAGACAGTCAATCTCACTTTTCGTTGTAAAAGTGTAGCCTAAGAGTTGGCGGTGAATGGTGTTGACTAGCTACCTTCCCTCTAGTTTATCATCTCTCAGTTAAGGACGGCTAGCGCAAACAGCCTTCGAATAGTTTTGTGCGAAATTCAACATATTCAACTTCTTCATAACCAGTTCAGAATATATCTTTATTAAGGTATACTAGGGTAATTCTTCTAAAATTCCGTACAAGTTTTCTTTCTTATAAACTGGATGTTCAAAAGTTGTAAATATATACTAATCATTGAACCACTCTCTGAGGGTAAGGCATGGTGACGTATATACTGTGCGGTATGAGTTGGTATTTTTTCCCTCAAATATGGCATTTGGAGTCGTCATTGACGTAGGTAATTAATGGATTATGAGATACCACACTAGGACCTCTTTATCTGATTTAGAATTGCAGTATAATATTACTCTTGCTGTCCTTGCCGTATGCAGAAATGCTTGGAAAGTCTTTTTACCAGTTCAGACATTATTGCAAGGAAAGATTTTATTTATTTATTTACTTGTTCGATTTTCATTTGCTGTCTGTGTTTAATTTGTTTCTTGTATTATTTCTGGAAGCTGCTGTTATTATTGCCGATATTTCGGCTTATCTGTCGAACATAAGCGTACCTGAATACCCCAGTATTAGTATAAACGGTACGAAACTTTCACAGGGATAGATGTAAATATTAAAGAGAAAACTTAACATCTAACTTCCGGTTACGAGTGTGGTTGTAGATGTGAACCACATTGTAAAACAGAAATGACAGTTTCGAAAAACCAACATCCCCAAAAGACTGGTGAGGTTTATTTAAGAAGTTAATTAGTTGTATGTTCTATAGGAATATGTCACCGATATTCGCTGTATTTAATTATTTGCTGTAGTCATAAACTAAACAAACTTCCCACTAATAAACACTACAATTTGCATTTAATTTCTAAATGAAGTTAATTATGTAAATTCACTTTGAAAACTTTATCAGAAGTCAAGTTTAAGAACACTATTTATACTATTAGTCAAAAGGACTTGTTTTATGGTATATACTAATCCTTTTTTTTTATTAAAGATCCACGTTCCTGTCGTTGTAAACGGTTCATAAAGTATGTTCTAATCATTCGTTTCTTTAATAAAAAAGTAGTTAATACAGTGCTGGTTCTATGAGTCTTCCCGCCCCCAGAAAAATTCAAATCAATGTTTACAAAAATATTTATTTTCTAGTGATAAACAAAAATAAATTAGTTTAAACCACTTTATTTAAGTTGTTCTGCCCCCTTAAACCATCGCTGGGGGAGGTCTGCCAGGACACTAAGATAAAAGATAGGTGTTGAGTAAAACCATTAAGAGGTAGTAATTTGATTCCTTAAGACAAGCGGTAACATCTTACGACTTTTTGATTCCATTTAATTGTGTAAAATATCTGCATAAACTCTCTTGGGAAATGGTGCTTTCAGGTTAGTGCAGTGTACAGGGTGAACTAGAATGGGAAACGTGTAGTGAAAACTGACTGTACTGAAGACATAATATGAATGTTTGGACGTGTTCAAACCTGTTTTTCATTCATGGAATTTTTTGGTCAGCTCCTCGACAATCATAAAGTTGCTGTTTCAAACGAACTAGTACCGAACTTGCTGTGCGTGACCAAGGGGGGATTCTGATTGTACTTTTGCCTAAAGCATGTTGAACTTCTTAATGTGTCAAGTGTTGATTAGACTTTCATGTGGAGGAAATTGACCAGGTGGCTATGATACAAAACACGTGTGTCCACTTAGTGGAGGAGAACATACATTGTCGCCACCTAACGGTGTCAGTGTATACTAGTACGTTGTCAGGCAACACGTAGATGGCGTGTTCAGTGCTATCCTTGTGTTTGTTCGTAGAATACATCAGAACTGCAACAGTTCTTTCTTAGTCGAGATTTGTGGGGTATAGTAGGATATTCAGTGGCTGTTTTATATTTGTATACTAGGTATCTAGGATACAGATTAACTGTATCACCAAACTGAATCAGTAAAAATAATGTTGAAAAATCTTGTTACATTTGGTTCTCGCGGGGCGTAATGCGTTGGTTAAGTAGTTTTTGTTGTTGTTAATTTTTGGGTAAATGTACAGGAGAATAACTTGATTATTTTACAGTCCATTCCTTATGAGTTAACAAAATTTACTATAAGTAGTTATACTTAATGTACTGTTGCATCATGGTCACAAATTTCTTCTTTGAATTTAGTGTCAGACAGTAGTGCGTCCAGTTGCCTACAGGCCCATTATGCCTGTCAGCCTCACTCCTGCCCGCTTTTCGACCCCAGCAGTCCGAAAATCCCTTCCAGTTCCCAGTCCTCTATCTACAGAGTCTGATTCAAAAAACTATTACAACCTGTCGCAAAGTTCGTATCTTTTAGATGACGACCATCGGTCAGTCACCTACTCGCTGGACAGCTGCATAAAGACTTCAGAGAACGTGTGCTCGTATGGAACCTCTTACTTAGGAAGTGGCTCCACACTGAACCTGGATGACTTCATCAACACACCGTCTCCTAGCGACAGTGGAGTGGCAGAAATGGAGGCCATTCTACGTGACAAAGACTCTGAAATTAACTATCTGCGTGAAACGTTGGAGCAGAACGAACAAGTAATCTTTAAAGTATACGAAGAGAAAGAGCAGAACTGGTTGAGAGAAATAAAAAAATTGCGCATACACTTTGACCAGAAACTGAGAGTCACCCAACAACGCCTGGCCAAAGCTGAACAACTCAGTTTCCAGGTAATTATATCATTACAAGAACAAATATATCACTGTAAAAAAGTGTTTTGGTCATTTTTTTTCAGTTTACAAGGTCTGTACCTATCGAAAGTTCCGAGTGTTTCGTTTATACAGTATATTACGATTATAAGACAAAAGAAAATTATTGATTTTCTGTTTTTACAGGATCTTTTTTCTAACACATTAAACTCTGATGAAAATGAATTTTTTGTTCACGGTGTTGTACCACAAAACTTTTACACTAATTTGTCCAAGGTCTTTACTGCACATAAATTATCACGATAATACTTTAAAAAAACAAACGTATCAAATATTTCAAAATGAATAATTTTACAGTACTTAGTTTTGTAATGTAAGTTTCTGGTAATTTTTTGAACAAGCTTTGTTACTTACATGTCAAAAAACACATTCTTCATTCGAAGTATGTAACAGAACAAAAAAGTTTTAGACACTGTTTTTCAATTTTATGTCGGTAAATTTAGCAAATAG